ACAACAGGCCAAGCAGTTGAACTCAGAACCATGTTCAGCGGGCTGCTTTCTCCGAGTGCTGCACCGCCTTCGGTCCGGAGGTCGCAGCTCCGATTCCCAGCATTGGTAGTTGAAGCTCTGTTGCATATAAAGAAGAATGCCTGGGACACATTGGAGGCTTAGCTTTTGTGCTTTGTAAGTGATTTTTCCAAGTGAATGGAGACAAGAAGAAGACGTCAGAGAGTTCCTTGTCTCCTGTGGTGATGCAAGAGCGGAAGGGACAGTTTATTCTATTAGCGAAGCCCCATCGAAGCCTGGAGGTGGTCAACCCACCTTTCTCTCCAGCAAGAGATGGGAGTCTTGTATTTACACAAAAAAAAAGAGCAAAATTGCCTCCCACACAAGAAACGACCACACTACCGCTAACCCTCATTGAAATTTGCCCCATTAAGTCTGGAAGAAAATTCATTCATTTCAGCTAAAGTAAGAAAAGCTTCCGGTTCTATCTTAGAAGAGCAGCATGCCTCGGACAAAGAGCAGCGCCTCCCGCTCCTGGTGCCCGGCCTACACCGCACGGACAGCTCTGTAGGCTGTTAGGAGACCAGCCGCCTTGCAGTGCAGTTACAAGCTACAACCAGCTACATTTGTTTGGGATCTTGCATCTCTGCAATTTAATTGCTGAATCTGTCCTGAACGCCATGAGAAAGCTCAGTTCAGTTCTGCTGGCGGCTGCCGTGCTGGGGGCCGCCCACGAAGTGGAGAGCGGCGACTCGACTGAAAAAGGGTCGGCAGGTGGGTGGAAGCAAACTTACAGCATACTGGGTTGTATGGAGAAACATTTCAGAGATGATTGCAACGGTTGTTGTGGTTTTGTCCCTGTGCAGCATCCGCCGACTGCCTTGCCGACTTCAATGCCGCTCGAGAACGAGCAGGCCTTGAAGCCTTCATTGCAGAGACTGACGCAAGCAAGAAACTGCCAACAGACAAAAAAGAGTATATCGCAGCTATTTGCTCTGCCATAGAGAAGGCAAGCTGCCGAATTTGCCTTGCCATTTCCGTAAACTGTGTCACTGTGATCGTCTGCTCGTATGCGTTTATGCTCGGCAGCCGTCGTCGCATAAATGGAGCTGCGCACATTCGCTTGCTATTCGGTGCGCTCAGGGAGCAGCGTCTGACGTTACTGTGCCAGATGCCGAGCGCGAAGGCACCTATGCCTACGCT